AGTTAGTTAGTTAGTTAGTTAGTTAGTTAGTTAGTTAGTTAGTTAGTTAGTTAGTTAGTAGTAGTGTGTGTGTGTGTGTGTGTGTGTGTGTGTGTGTGTGTGTAGTAAAATTCGGTACAATACGTTAATACGTTAAAATGTAAAATGTTAAATATGTTTAACTTCGGCCCTTGGTTATGAGCAAACGATTAGAGGATTTTAGACTGAGACTATTGTCTATATGATCTGCTCTAATCACTCACTCCTTCGGTCTAGATTTATTTATGTTTTAGTTACTAAGACTAGATATAATTTCATTGGACGCATAGTTTACATTTCACGTCTCGAAACAATTACCTAATCAAACTAACCAATAAAGTATATCTATGTCCAACTTAAGAAAATAGAAATAAAATCAAAACACCAAGCTGGTGCAGTATACATCTGCACCTAAACCCCATCACTTGGTACCTAGCTCCCCATCTCATTTAAGGCATAGACGGGCCCATCTAGTTGGCTGGCTAGGAGGAATCAAAACAATGTTGTCCTAAATTCTAACAACTCTGATCTTGTCCTTTTCTCAGTGGATTATCTTACTCTGAGATCCTTATTGAATTATACCATAGATTTGTACCTACAACCATTTCATGCCTGAGACCCTCTCTCATGGTACTCCCATTAATTAGAGATTCCGAAAGTGTCATTTTCAGGTGTTAGATTGGTGTCGTTCCTATTTAAAACAATTCTAATTTCAGTGAAAAAAACTAATCTATATTTGGGAAACCACCTAATTGTCCACAGTAGAGTCCCACACTCTACTGAGTACTGTCACATGTTCAGAATCCTGAATTTCTCAGTTCTTGTTCATGTCCAATTCGTTAAATGTTTGACAGTATTATAAGTATAAACGTTATTATGTTTATACGTTTATAATATACGTTACCTGTGCAACTACTATTAGGAACCCGCTATTTTTACATAGCCCCCCCCCCCCCCCTCAGCTTGAAAATTATAATGTTGGCTTATACGTGGTATTAGCACATAGACTCAAATCTCACATGAATTGTACAAGCGAAAAGAAAAGAAAATGCTGATGTTGTATTCTCTTAGACAAAGTATACTTAGACGTTATAAGTTACTCGGTTACTCTATTACGTTTGGGCTTTGGTCTTTGTGGTCCCCGATGGTGGATGGGACGTTTCTTAATGCCTTTTGGAGGTACGTACATTCCATGCTGTTTAAAGCTGGGAATGTATGATGTCTGTGGATAGATCTTACACACTTCGGGTCGCTTATTCGATGGTAAGATTGTTTCTGCATCAGCCTTATTTTTGTGTAAGCGTTTGCGAAACTTCTTATTAAAATCCTTTAGTACATCCGGATCATCAAATGCTGATGGTGGAAGATCATACTGTGCTCCATCGGCGAGCTCCGTAGTGTAATATGTCATATCCTCATGTTTGTACTTCCCTAGAATCTACTTA